GAGATTGCTCCTCTTTATCAATTTATTGCACAGTGATAAAGAGGGAGCAATCTCTCGAAATATTTTGAGAAAAAAAAAAAGTTTTTTTTTTCTTTACAGATCCAGGTACGCCCTTTTATATAATCTTAATTAATGGATCGCCTTTTGACACAAAATATAATAATGTGTTTTAACGCGTTTAATAACTAGCTTCGAGAGGCGTCCGCTATATGTTGAATTATTTATTATATCGACGTTATATAGAAATCTCTAGTTTCACATTAAAGGAGAACATCAGTCGTCAAACTATGGAATCCCTTATATATTAGATTTGTGATATTACCGGTTCAAAATAACTCTATCAGATGAGATCACAGTGCTCAGACAATGCTATTCAGGGAAATATAGTGGGAACATTAAACTGGAGACCAATAAAATGGCTAGGATTCAGCCAGAACCCCTATTATTACGAAGTGAAATAGGTTAAAACAAAGACTTGGATAATATTCAAAAAGAATATTTCTTTTGTTTAGGGATTTATCTCAAGGACTGCTATCAACTCTCTCGAGATTCGCATCAGCGTCTTTAAAATTGATTTGTCAGGAAGCAGTCTAGGTGGGGAATGGGCCCAATTTTCTGGGATTAGAGGAAAAAAGGGCCGCTGTTCAGAAGGATCCACTTCCGATTTGAGATAAGGGTCGTTTAAAGAGCGTTTAGTTAGGCATTAGCTGGAGAATATCATCTTGGACGACATTATTTCCAAGAGCTTAGAGGCTGCTGGAGATAGCTAGCAATTGCGGTGTGTTCTCCATTGCTCAGTTGTGATTACACTGGGAGGGAGGGGCCTTCCTGCAGAATATAAATATTCTACTTAAATCTCTCTCCTCTTGTTCTAGCTACAACTTCATTTTTAAACATGTTTTGTTGGGTCATTTTTCTCTCCACAATATCAAATTGAGAATGAAGAAAATTAATATACTTCATAATTAGCATATGATATAACATTTATATGTCATAGGAATTGATTAAAATTTTTAAAATAATATTTTCAGAAGAACAAAACCAATGTGAAGTCGATTGCCAGATGGCGCCGCTTTACACTATATAAATCTATTGGTCCTTTGGCCGGAACAAATATAATGATTATAAATTTGTTAATTATATTATACTAGCCGAATGACCCGGGCAACGCCCGGGGTTTACCCGATTAAATGCTTTTATTCAAATACTATTCGTTACAGTTATAAATTGGCGCCGTGGATGTCATTCTTGTATAATATATAAATGAGTTTTAAAAATTGTAAAAAAAAAAATGCATCGGCCGGGAATCGAACCCGGGGCGCCCGCCACTATAATATATAAATGAGTTTTAAAAATTGTAAAAAAAAATGCATCGGCCGGCAATCGAACCCGGGGCGCCCGCATCGCAGGCGAGCATTCTACCACTGAACCAAAAGCAAACGGTGACAGAATTAAGAACGCATGACGCTGATAACTGTATATATTAATATTTGTGTGTGTTATATAAATATATGTGCAAAATAAGGGAAAATGGAAAAATAGTCAGGTGTTGATATTAAAAACAAAATTGCATTTCCTGACCGCTCACATGAGCATTTTAGATGCATTTTTTCCTCATTTATTTTTACATGAAAAGCGTATTTACGCAAACTTGACCTAAAATAACCATTTTATGATTTCTCAGGAAACCTCTAGGACCAAATAATTGGTCGTAGAGGTACAGTCTGTACCACGCTGACGAGGACTTAAAGCCTGAAACGCGTAAGTGGTTGACCTTTCTTTATTTAATAAGAAATCGGGTTGGCCAATATAATGAAATTACCCTACTTAAATGTGTTAGCTGATTTAGAATATACATTTTCTCAAAGTAAGGTTAAAATAATCTTCACCTAAAATTGAAGATATTTCATTATGTATTATAAAGCATTTGGTCAAGAGATGCTACCTAATTAGTCCTTCCTCATATTTCTTATTTATAATATATAGGTAAACGAAACCCAATCTGAAACCTGACAATGGATTGCCACCGTTTATTAAAAGGTATTTGTTTAAAAATTGCACTTAAAAGAAGAAAATAAATATTCAGCTTCCGCCATTGAACAAATAGATTTGAATGATAAAATAAAAGCGGGTCGTGAAGAACGACCATCAAGAATTTCGAACTGAATGTAATTTAATATGAGAAAACAGATTCGCAGCTTTCACAAATATTTTACCTCTTCACTCGATATAGGATGACCGCCGCTTTTATTTTGACTCATTCAGATCTAACTGTTTAATGGCTGTAAATGAAATATCTATTTTCTCCTTTTTGGTGCATTTAAAAAGCTTTTTTATAGAACAATTTTTGTTTTTATTCATTTATCTAACATTTTCTTCCATTAATTATAAATTTAAAATAATTATATTAAAAATCTATTTATATATATATGTATATAAGTATTCATTATGTTATATAATAAAAGGATTTAAAAGCGCGAATGTTTCTTTTATACATAAAACGAACTTCTACTGTCCTTACTGCGATGAAGAAATATATTGGGAGGGCTTGGCTCATCAGTGGTGAACCCTCCCAGCGGTTTCGCCAATTTAATCCACCAGACCGCTTCTCAGAGCAGTACAGTATTAGAGCTCTGAGAAGCGGTGTGGTGGATTAAATTGGCGAAACCGCTGGGAGGGTTCACCACTGATGAGCCAAGCCCTCCCAATATATTTCTTCATCGCAGTAAGGACAGTAGAAGTTCGTTTTATGTATAAAAGAAACATTCGCGCTTTTAAATCCTTTTATTATATATATATAGATGGCGCGTTATTGCTTTGTGTTAATTTATTCCTAACTGGCCTTGTCTTTATAGTTTGCTGAAGAGCATTGCTCGAAGCGAATATTTGAAGGTAATTCTACTGTCTTATAAGCTTATGTCCATAGTTTACTTGAAAACCATTGCTAAGATTCCATCCTTCAGTGTAGCATATAAAAGCAGAATGATCCAATACAGTATTAGAGCTCTGAGAAGCGGTCTGGTGGATTAAATTGGCGAAACCGCTGGGAGGGTTCACCACTGATGAGCCAAGCCCTCCCAATATATTTTTTTCATCGCAGTAAGGACAGTAGAAGTTCGTTTTATGTATAAAAGAAACATTCGCGCTTTTAAATCCTTTTATTATATATATATAGATGGCGCGTTATTGCTTTGTGTTAATTCATTATGTTATCTTTTGAAATGTGTTAAAATTAGTTGAATTTGTATTTTAATTATTTTAAATGATTATATAGCTTTCTGTAAGTATATTCACAAATATTTTTAGCTTTAGTTGATACTACCGATTTATTTTTATGGAATTCCAGACGCTCATTAGGTCACAACGGTTGTGCCTATTTTCTCCTTTTTGTTATATACACTAATGGAGAAAACCTAATGAAGTTGTGCCTTTTAGCATCGGGATTCAGAAAATAAATCTGAAAGATAAACTTCACTATATCTGGGACTATATCGAGGACACGAAGTAACCAATAGACGCCAGAGACATACAAATTTGGGAATTCCTTGAGTTTTGTTTATTAGTGTATACAAATTATATTCTATATATTCTATTCGAGAACACAACATCTATATAGAATTCTGGTATTTTGTTATACTTGCGTTGTTAGCTTGATTAAGTGAGTGTACAAAATTTTAAACTTCTACGTGTGATTTGGAGGCATATTAGAAATTCATCACAATTTTAAAAATAAATGTAAATTTGCCTATTTCCGACAACCCAGAGTCTTAAATTTGATAGACTTGTATTGCTAGCTGAATTGAGCGAGTGTACAAAATTTCAAATATCTATATGCTCTGGGGAAGCATATTTCAAAATTTCATAAAAATTAAAAGGAAGTATAGAAATTAGTCTAGTCCCGACCCCTTTAAACTCTAGTGACACATTATGCCAGCGAAACGGCCGCGCCTATCCATCCGTTCGAAGGTAAATATGTAAATTCTCTAGTCTATTCCCGAACATGTGTTCAAATATATTAAAAGGCGATTTAAAAACGAAAGGAAATTAGAAAAATGGTCCATTACCGAGTACCCAGAAGTCTAAAAGTCTTTTGCTAACTTTTTTCGTTATCTATATTGAGAGGGACTACAAATTTTCATAGTTCTGGGTTTCCTAGAATTATATTAAAAATATTTCGAAAAAATTGAAAGTAAATTTAAAAAAATTAAAATAAGCCATTGCTGACCATTTGACACCACCCCGAAGTCAGACATTTTTTCATTTTGTAATATCATCAGGTTTGAACATATGTACCAAATTCACGGCTTATAGGTGCTCTGTAAGTATATTTAAAATCGACCACAAGATTTAGAAGGAAAATAGAAATAAACCAAATCCTGATCACCCAAAAATCTAAAATTTTGTTCTAAAAACTTCTCAATCTTCAATAATGAATGGCGTGTGCTAAATGGATTACATTTTTCATTTCTTCAGTTTTGGCCGCTTCACTTGGATGCTCTCTTAATTAAAAATTTCACTTTAATGATCTTTCAAATTTGAAAAAAAGAATCTTGCACAAATTATTGGGATCTATTAACTATATGCACACATATTTTTGGAAAGCGGTTTGAATGATTAAAAATTAAATGAATAATTCTTTATATAGAATATAAATAGAATACACTTCGCTGAGGAAAGAGTTTATTTTCATATAACGGCAAGCTCTCGGGCTCTCTGTATTGCCGTTATACATGTATATAAAAGAAACTCTTTCCTTAGCGAATTGTCTTTTATTTATAATTTTACTGAAGGAATTATACTATTAACAAATTCTTTATATACTCATTATAATACAATATAATGCGGCTTATGTTTGTAGAACGGAATTTGGCAATTACCGCAAATGTTTCTTTTGAACGAAAATCTTATTTTTTAAGGAGAAATAACGATTATTTCTAACATTAGGGATGAAGTAGGATAAGATAAATTGTGAAGAGTAATGATAAATGAAAAATTAAAGTGTCCAGGGATGAGAATCGACCTACAGTGTTCCGCTTACCGGGCAGATGCCATGTCCACTAGGCTACCCTGGACATATTTTTCCGTTCGTAAATATTATATAAAGTAATTTATTATAAATATTGAACGGAATTTGGCAATTATACCGCAAATGTTTTTATATTCATTATAATACACAATTAGGTGTAGATAGATCAAATATTTTTTTCAATTAAAATATTTTAAACCAAAAATATTATTTGCGTCTAGCATTATTATTGAGTATGTTTTGATAATTAAAAAATAAAATTAAATTTTTAAATTTTAAGTAAACATAGGTCGAAAACTTTGAAGAAATTTCAGTTTTTAAAGTTCAATTTTAATCCAAAGTTTGATTTATTTTAGAAAAGTCAAAAGTAATTTTTATTGTTATTAATAAATATCATCACTACTTGAAAAATCATGTGATTCATCACAGCTTGTTTTCATTTAAATGTGACAGAACAAAATCTTTACATAATACTCCATTTTTAATCAAGAATTAGAAATCTGTTTTTTAAATATAAATATATAGAAGAAGTGTTGTTAAATTTAATTAAAGAAATTTTCAAAATGTTTGTCATATATTTTATTATATAATATATCATTTCAATTTAATTATCATCTCTGCTCTCAGATTATATTTGAATAATAAAAACAGCCAGAATACGAGTATATTTCATTTTCCGATATTATAATTTTTCGCATAAATCCTTTTTCAATTATAATAAAATTTTATTTGGAATTAAAAATAGTTTTCAATGTATACCTTTTTTACATTTCTTTTTATTATATAACTTTCGAATATTTAATATTTATTTATCTAAAAATAAATATCCAGAAAAATGATGCAACGAATTTGAGTAATCGTAGCGTAGTTAATTACTTAAAGAAATAATTGGAAATTTGAGACGATGTTGGAGCAGTAACATTTCAAGGAATCAACACATGTTGTCAGCGTTGAGATTCCAAAAATATTTGTTGGAAAGAAAGATAAAAGAAGAAAGCTTGTCAGCTATTCCATTATATATTTTGATGGCGTAATTAGAATAAGCCTATGAGAGAGACATTTGAAACCTTCAAAGGGATTTGACTAATCTGGGGGGCCATTTTAATTAAATTTTTATCAGGGGGCGGCAGTATGTGATGATCCGAGGTGAGCGCCGCCGATAAAGGTGCCGGGCAATGATGTGTCATTTCTATTTTATCATCTTAGAAATATTAGGAGCTATTCGTTCCAAATATAAAAACTATATATTCATTTATTTCAAAATAATATCCTTATATGGATATTTGTATTTATAATGTGTGTGAAAAATAAAGATTTAAAAATATATTCTCATAGAGACAATATATATCTATACGTGTATGTAAAGAGGCTAAAATTATATTCCATTAAAAATAATAATAAAGAAGATTCCCATCATCCATAGAGTTTATATAACTTTTCTTTTTGTTTATCCTTAGTACACGTGGTACAGGCCATGATAATCATGGTGGGTAGAAGTAGGCGACTGATTTTACTGTAAGAGCACCACATTTCTACACATATGAAAAGCAGTTCCACTGTTTATATAACTTTTTACTATAAGGAGTCGAGATATATCACCTTCTATAAATGTGTAATGATGATTTTTATTAGTCTTTTAATATTTACATCTCGCATGATAAAAGTTTTCAAAGATCATCTTAAGCATATATATATATATACTAGCCGAATGGCCCTGGCAACGCCCGGGTTTTACCCAACTGGACCCGGCTTCGCCTGGGTAGTGTTCGAGCGAGGTTTACTCATGAATGAATAGAGGCCCCAACTGTTTGTAAACTCAATGTAATGAATTTTCTTTCAGCAAAATGGAGATAAATTGCAAACAGCAATATCGAAAATGCTTGTAAAAAAATCTGAAATATAGGATCCATTTCACAAACACATCTAATGAATAGAGTGCTGTTTGGAGGAGTGGTCTAAACTGTTAATTTTTAAAAACCATGACCCGGGATCATCGAATGCAGATTCAGACACTTTGTTCTGAAAAAAAAAAATTGCCCCAATGGCTCCTGATTCTTGAAAAAGTCCAACCCCTCCAGTGAGTGCAAGTAACCAAACTGGGCTTTTATTCTTAAAAATAAAAAAAAATCTAATGATTAGTGTGAATAAAGGAAAATGGTCGGCACAACCTGATAATTTCACTTTGTCCACTTCACTCTCGGCTGTCTAATAAGAAACAGCCATAGCAAACATTTTAAAGGGCACCTAATCCGGCATTTACATATCTAAATAGTTAAGCAACTTTTATAAATGTAATATATTTCTGCAATATTGAAATACCTGGACTTGAAAGAATTTTGTATTAGTTATTGTTGCAGTTTTAGAAAAGTGTGGGAAATTGGATATTTTAACAAAAGAATATAATTTTTAAAATGGTATATAAAATAAAAAGGAAATTTGAATAATTTTCTAATAGTCAAGGGCAATTTTAAAATACCAAAAAAGCAAGACCAAATAAAAATAAACGAATTATGTGTGATGTTTCAGTAACAGCATTGTTACCTTATTAAGACAAAATTACTGAATGTATTCAGTACTTTTGTCTGAAGATGGTAACAATGCTGTTACTGAAACCACATATATAATTTATTTATTTGGATTAGGTCTTGCTTCCTTGTGATTTTTATCTATATTTCAAAATATACCTCAATTATATTTTTGCCTAAAAAGGAATATATATAATGCCAAGACCTTAAATCAAAGTTAAATGTCAAATGAGTTATTAATTAACCCTATATGGATCCGCGTTATAGGTAAATAACATGTGAAAATAAGGCCAACAATTGAAATATCATTTTAAAAAAATCAAATTTTGAACGCTAGCTTCACACAGGGCACATATTTTGCTACCAGCTACATGCGTTCTATTTTACTATGGTGTGATTTCCACATGTTGGATCTACATTATAATCTCTCCAGAGCTTAAGGTAGCAAACAGTAATTTCACAATACATAAATATCAATGCCAAAAGCCAGAGTTATGATAGCATGTTGCAGTGTAATGTTGACCTGCAGGATGGGAAAAAAACAATATTATTTCCAAAGACTTTAATTTGAAAAGTATTATGAAACGTTAAATATATTATCTTTACTTTTAAAAGCATGAAAAAAGCTATCTCGATTTGAAAAAATTTAGTCTAGAAACAAACATCATGTAAAATTATGCACCAATCGATTGCTGATTGTATATTTCTTTATTTAAATATGAGTATATTTGCATCTATATATCTAAATACATTTATTCAAAAATATGGTATTACCCTATAGATATATATGAGCAGTTATTTATTGTGAAGCAGATAAATATAAACCCTAACTAAACAAATGACAGCAAAAAAAAATTGAGCCTACCCTTAAAAAAGCAGTTACTGAAAATGCATAGCTGCTGCTTACAATATAAATGCTATTAGAGCATAAACATATTACATGGAACAAACATATAGTAAAATATACGTAGCAAGTTATATAAAAAAACATACTTTTTTTCAATAAATATACTTTTTACAACTTCAATAAAATTTATACTTACTCTAAATATAAGAAAAAAAAATAGAATACTGTCTCAATTTGTCTTAAAATAGGAATATTCCTTATGAGAATCAAATAGTAAACCTTATCTATTAAAATGTAGATCGTTATATTTACACTAACTAAAATTAAAGAAGCAAAAAAGATATGAATAAGCTGCGAAATAAATAATATTTCCAATTAATTTAATTTGAAAAATATTACTAAATAAATAAATAAAATCTTAACTTCTAAAAAGGAAAAAAAAAGGTTATTCGAAATACAATTTTTGCACTTTTAGCCTAAATGCTAAACCAAATCCTCAGCTAACTACGCGCGATATTTCACAATACAGTTTTAATTAACCCAGGTTCCGGGGACGTATAAATTTGATAACGATCGATTAATATTATCTCCAAAGAGTTTAAAAATATATAAATAATCTTAACTTTTAAAGACATTCATCGTGTAAAATTACAAAACAACAAAATTACAATTTAAAAACAAACAACGTGTAAAATTATTAACCAATCAAATTCATTTATCGTCGCGACCAGTGCGCCGCCAAGCGGCAAAAGGCGGGAACTAATCCATTTCAGTTAAATAATTTAAAAAAAAGTACATTAACCTTTGTAGTTTTTTGAATAGCCTATATGTTAAACGAAATCTTCAGCTACCTACATGCGAAATTCCATAATGATTGAGTCAGTAGATTTTGCGTGATGCGATAACAAACATCGATTTCGCATTTCATTTTTATAGATATAAGGATAATTGGAGCTATTTCCACATCCAACATTCCCAATCTGACGAGGTTCCTGGCTAGAAACCAGGTTTTTTCGTTCAAAATATCCTGATGCTTTTAATTGGAATATTGAATATATTGTAAATATTTCATCTATATTCAGAGAAACTGAAATTCATCCGTGATATCGTTGTTCTCATAGGATCTGTTTAATTTCTGTTTAATCACCAATTCACAGATTGGGAGGAATTCAATAAAATTCAGGCAATTTTGCAAAATTCTAAAGATCCAATATAAGCCCTGATTAGGCATATACAAGGTACTTTCGTTAAATTTTCAATAATTTGATAATTAAAATAAAATATTATTTTTTTAAAATAATATTTAAAATATTTTTCGCATTTAAACACTCATGCCATCTCGCCCCCTATTTTCGTAACAATTTTCATAACTGTGTTCTTGCAAGACTCTGAGGAACTTTCGGCGATTTTTATATTATGTCTTCTCGAGACCCTTTAAGACAAATTTTAAATTTTGTGTATAGGGAAAGGGTTATCTGTGTTTAAACATACGGTGAGTATAGGAACTAAAGAAATATAGGGATCTTTTATTCTTGTACCAAATTTTAAAACAGCAACAGCCGAATGGGATCTGACACCTTGGTTGGCGGAACCCAAAACTTTTAAAACTTCTTTTCCAGTTTCTGATTGTCGTGAATAATGAAATAAATTAAATCTCACCGAAAAACCCCGGGG